GAATTGGGCAAGTTGGATGACTTATTAACCTCAATCAGATGGATCTGTTAACTGGACTTCCTAAAGAACCCATTCACTTCCCTGAAAAATGCATCTCAATCAAATTTGACTCCGCTAATTGGAAGTGTATCAATTACATTTCATTAACTTTTCAAGTATGAATAGCATTACATTTATCCCTGTCTTCTGCTGATAATATTTCATCTGAATCCTAATAATGCTTCAACTAATAACAGCTTTCACAATATAAACACAACATAAATTTATAAAAGTGAAACTAGCTAGACTTGCACAATGACGGAGCCAGGAATTTATGCAAAGAGCTTCAAAAGAATACTAGAAAATCACACTTGGGATTTGAGAACCTGTAACTTAAATCAATTTTCGCCCATTACATTTGCTACTACACTAGAATCTTCCCTTGTATGAAAGGGATTCAAAAGTTTATATATAACCACAAAAAATCATTTTTACTCTATTTACACGACATAATTTTTTGAAGAAGGGGGATTCAATTGAACCCCCTTGGGTCTACATAGCTCCACCCCTGCTTGAATGCATTACATTTTAATTGATACTGTAAAACAATATCAATCAACTAACCTCAATCTCGAATCATTTAATTCCAGCTATAAGAATTTTTCATATACATTCAGTTCTACAATTTTATGAAAAAAGAAAAGAACAAAGAGACATTATGATAACTGATAAGTACCTGCAAGTCTCTGCGACTCGCGGATCTGTATCACCTAAAGCTTCCATCTGTATTTTCAAACCATCCTTGTAACATTCAATCGACCGATCCAACTGTCCAAGCATAGAATGAGTATCACCGAGCTGCATATACCCTGAGAACGCCGCAAGCGCGTGATCTGCACCTTTTGAAACTTCTGGCACCTTAATCGCCCTTTCTAGCACAGGAATCGCCTCCTCGAACCTCCCGAGACTACAGTATATAGCCGCCACGACGTGGAGGCTCATCGCCAGATCCAAACTCGGCTCGCCGTCGATCGCGCATTTCTCAAACGACTTCGCGGCGCGTAGAGCGTAATCTAGCGCCTTGTTCGGTCCCTCGCCGGAGGCAATCGTGTCACGCGCTAACTTCAGCAAAAACGGTCCTAGATCGGGATTGTCGAGAGATGACTCATCGATGACGATCTTCTCTGGTGGCGATTTCTTCTTCCCGGAGCTCCGATCTGGTGACGGCTTGGCGCGTGAAGTTGAAGGCGACGGTGAAGGAGGTCTTCGCGGGGCAGGAGAGTTACTCTTCGGGTTAACGGGTTCGGATCTCTCCGAACTTGCTCCGACCCGCCCGTTGGACTCATCCGGAACTGAAATTCTCAACGGCTGAGCCTCCGGCGGCGTTTTGACTGAAACTATACCCGGCATTGTTTGAGCTAAATTTCTGCCAGAAAAATCGATTAATCAAAAGGATTTCACAATACAAAGAGCTTTTATATGATGATTTGGGAGTTATAAGAGAGGGAAATTAATTAGCATTAATGAGCTAAGATGTGATTAATTAAGAGATTAATACTTGCCAACGTATTCAACTGTTAGTTGAGAAACAGTTGAAAGAGTTGAAGAAGAAGAAGAAGAAGAAGGTCCTCAGTGAAGCAAAGACTCTGGACTACCGTCTAAATGGGCCAGCTAAATTGTGGGCTGCCGATAAAAGTGGGCCATATTAAATGACGTGGATTTTACATGGCCAATTATTTGGTGACAAGTATTATGAGCTGTTTCAAATGCCTAATTTTATTTTCTTATCTGAATATTAAAGGGTCAAATATCCTGATATTATAATCTCATATCCGATAAATAATAATATCGAGATTTTGATATTATAATAATAATAATCAAATATGTGATAAATATAATCCTAAATACTATTTCCGATCACCAAACGACAAAGAGATTAAACACCATCTCTCTACTAACATTTTAATTAATTCAACACATCTTAGGATTATTATATTGAATTGTATTGCCATTTCATTTGAAAAGTTTTAATTTTTTTTAGAGAATTTATTTTTATTTATCTAATTATTTTATTTAATATTATTTCACGTAGGCGTGATTCTAATGGACAAAAAACATAGTTGAAATAATGTGACTGACAATAATTGTCCAAAAAGAAATAAAAATTAAGAAGAGAATTTTTCTTTTCAACTTCATAAACTTGTGAAATGTTTTGTGCTAAGTAGATTATTAGAAAAATCTTATTAAAATATATGTCAAACTTAAGGAATTATTTAGGTTAAAATTTGGTATATGTCCAAGGTTATGATTAGAAGAAGAAGAAAAAAAGATGACTTTTCGTAAGAAGAGAGCAAACCCTGTCATGCGTTGGATATTGGTTTGATTGTTATCTGAGAAGTTTATGATGATGGATGTGAATTTTTCAAAAGTACCCTTGGCATTCTTTTTTCTTTTTTCTTTTTTTGGGTGGGGGTGGGGGGTTAGGTTTAGATACCCCACAAAATTATGAATAATCATTTGGGGTTCTGTAAAATTAATCATATGATTTGTGAGGATCCTCAACATTAGCTTGACATTATCCCGATATATTTGTGGCCTAGTGCTCAATAAAGTAGGTTGAAAATAGTAGCGGATTCAGCTTGCGATTTATGGATTCACGTGAACCTAATAGCTTTTGTCCAAACAGAGTAAATGTGTTCCAAAAATTCATTAAATATCTATAAATATTTAACCGAGTTACTATTGAAAATTAATCGAGGTAGTTGCAGGAACTCATAAACATTAAATTTTGGATCCGCCTCTGGTTGAAAATGATGAGATTATTGGTTCAAAATTCAGTGGAGGCAAAAATATTATTAGGTGACTTCTTGCCATCTGTTGTCTCAGCCAGATAGACCGAATTACTCGGTACTTATGTTGGTGGGAGACAACAAATATCAGCCAAAGCACGCACAAGCTAACCCAGACACCATTTATAATATCACAAAAATTAATAACTGAAATATTACAAACTAAAGGAAATACATGTATTCCTGCCTCTAAACACACATGATAAAATTCAAATATATACTAGTAGTACTTGGTATAACTCATTACTTATCACTATGATATTCTCAAAGGAGCCCAGCTACAGGCAAAAGATGAAGCTAAAGATGAAGATTTTAAAACTAATGAGCATTATTGGCTCCTTTAGCTGGAGGATTCCCTTTGCCTGGGGTGTGTGCAGTATTTGGTCCACCTTCACCTTTGTAGTCTATTGTCACATCCACAGCTAAAAGCTTGCGCATATACATTTGGCTACTCACCTGCGCCATAAATTAAGTTATATACACATTAACATTTTACAAATTTGTTACTCTATTAGCGCAGTGCAGTTTAACATATTAGAGCAGGTTAATTATATCAATTAATGTTTTAGATGCCCCTACGCATAAACATACGGATATGAATACCGATTCAGATGGAGCTAGAAAGGCTCATTTGACTGATCCATAAACTCTTGTCGGAACAAATAACAAACAATGATTTCACTTTGTATTTATAAAATGCTACTTCAGAGAAATATTGTGACAAAAATATCACACAATCAGAGGCGGACCTACTTCATTGAGGGGCCACCGGGCCCCGTAACTTTTGCAAAAATCTAGTATACTCATGTGTATACACCTTAAAAATAATTATATAAATAATTTGGCACCCTGAACACTAAAAGCTTTTAATGGGCACTAATAAAAAAAATAATGATGCTCCCGTCATGTAAAAATTCCGAATCCGCCTCTGCGCACAGTGCAAATAATCTATATAATACTCCGGTTAACATGCTTGAGAAGTACCTTTCTCTGCAGGCTATTTGGCCTTGACATTTCTTCTATGCCATTGCTTCTACCTATAGAACAAGAAAAAACTTGATAAGTTGGTATAATTAACAAATTAAAAACCAGTGAATTTTAAAGTTAGAAAACCAAGCTGATTAGCATAGTTTCTACAAAAGTATAAAGTTGTTCACCTGGCCATGAGCTAATGAAGAGGAGATAGACAACAAAAATAAGAGTCTTCATATCACTACACTTGCAGCTTCTAAGCTAAAGAAAATACTTTTAAAGTGTTGCCAAGATTGTTTGAGTTACTTGAAATTGAATTGAAGAAGATTAAAAAACAGCAGCTTTAATAATGGCATTTGCAGTATACAAGTTACGTTACTAGTGCGCCTGTCTTTGTACAAACTTCACTCGAAGACTTTGTTGAATAATTCACAAAATGCAATTCACTTCATCTGTCACCTAAAGATAAAGTCAACTATCCATATTTTCAAATTTAATTATTTGTACTTGGTGGAGCCTTAGATGTCAAGATTTTCGACAAATAAGCCGGGAATTTCGCTTAAAATGTTCAAGATTTAATATACATGTATAATAAGTAATTTTTTATTTACATATGCCGTATAATTTTTTATATCACTGTATAATTTTTCGATAAAGGGTATTCAAATGACCAGCCTTCATTGTACACCGATGTTTTTAACTTTTGTGCATGGTCTAGCAACAATGTCAATTTTTTATAAGTAGCGGATCTAACCATGAGTTTGCGGGTTTGATAGAATCATGTCCATCAAGGTGGAACCATATATATATATGCCCTAAAAATAAAATAAATATACATTTTAGAATTCATTCTCTCACCTCGTAACTTAAAACATCTATATTTGAAATCCTGTAGATAGCATCGTTACTATAGTGTTAAATATGTATAATTGAGCCACTTCATGAACAAAATTGAGTAAAAGTTTGAATTATAGGTTGTATTGATGTTCTGGTTAACCTCACCACATAACGCACTAATAGTCCATTAGTGAGTAAAGTTTGTAAGGTTTGATGTCTTAATCAACTAATTTTCATATGCTTGAGAGGAGCTTCTTCTTCTTCTTCTTCTCCCTTTTGTTTTATTTTTGTCACTAGATGCTGACTGCCCATGCAGAGCACGGCCCAACGACCAACACTTCAACAACAACAACATCAGAATCCTAGGATAAGTGATCAACTTTATTAATTAACACCAAATATTATATAGTAAGTTATATACATCTTGTAAGTTAGTCTAAAAGTTAACAGGTGCAGACATTTGCATTCTCGTGTGTATATCGCAGATACATCTTCAAATTTGTATGTGCATTCTGGTGTGTATATTGCAGATGCATCTCCAGAACATCAATAGTTTCTTTCTTTTAGCTTGCCCATAGTATTCGAAACGGCCTTGTGTTCCTATCTTCCTTCCGAAAGATGTTGGTAGCGCCTTTTAGATCACCAGGGATGATTCCATTTAACTACAACACTTGCATTGTTGAGTAGCTATGGGACAATGCAAAGAAAAACTTAAGTTACTGGAGCAAAGTTAAAATCTATTACATAAGGTGTAACCTTTTGTCAAACAATCATTGTGCAATGTTGTTCAAATAAAACCAATAACTATGGATAGGAGGGCTAGAAGTAAAGAGCCTATGTGAGTTATGTGAGAAGAGGGCTTAAGGTTAAAAGCTTATAGCAAGAGCTGACAGAGTAGTTCCCATCATTATCCTTTTTCCGGATCATTCTGTTGTAGGAAGAGGAATTGCATAAAATCTGCAACATTTTATCAGCAATGCACAAAATGTCTTCATCAGTTATCCGGTAACTTAGCTTACAGAGATAGATAAGTTTAGTAGAAACGTAGTTTTAGTAAGTATTATCATATATTGTCAATGTAACCATATCTCTCTTATTTGATACACAAATATTGATGCTTTCTCAACAAAAGAAATAGTACGGACAGATTGTTCATACTTCTGTTCACGACCAAGGCAAGAGCTGCACATAAATAATTTTATAGTGAGTAGTACCATATGTTGTCATTGTAACCATACCTCTGTTAAATGTTATAGAAGGTTCTTATTTGATACATAAATATTGATGATAAAGTATTCTTTCTCCACAAAAGAAAAAGTACGGTCAGATTGTTCATACTTCTGTTCAAGACTAAGGCAACAACTGCACATAAATAGTTTTATAGTGAGTAGTACTATATGTTGCTAGTGTAATTGTGCCTCTGTTAAATATTATATATTATTTGATAAATAAATATTGATGATAAAGTATTCGTTCTCAACAAAAGAAAAAGTATGGTCAGATTATTCATACTTCTGTTTATGATCAAGGCAAGAGCCTCACATAAACATGAAAAATTAGTAAGTTTGCCAGAACCAAGTTGCTACTTAGATGAATAAGTTAATAACAAGACTGGTCAATATAGGCGATATTAGTACCTACATGTATCTGCATATGTTGCAATATAAGCAATAATACTAGCTACAATGTAAGTGCTACATAAGAAGAAAAGGGAAAAAACATCATTCAATGTGTATGAGTAATGCTAAGTGCACAGGTATTTATGTTAGATATGTTTGATTTGGATTAATGAAGTTCACTTAGATAACACATCAAATTGTATTAGAAGAAAAGAATCCACAATCCATGAGATACTGTAATTATAGAGTACCTGGCATTGAAAAGGTATATATATGCAACATCCTATAAAAAAATGAATGATTCCCTTTTTAAATACAAAAAGAGCATCAAACTTAACATGCATAGGGCTTCCAGATGAAAGTGTCACAGAACCATCGAAGACAAATTGATGTTTTCCATATGGATATCCTAAAACGCTGGTCCATCAAATTGACCTTAAACGTTATAATTCAACAGCACAAGCATCCTAACTTTCACTTCTTTCATTTCATTTAAATATGCAATCAACTTGGCTTTGTCTTGTCGATTAACTGAAGCGAGGGTGGCCGAAGCCACGACCTTTGCTTTTCTTAACTTTCTTCTTAGGATTTTGTGTTGTGCAAGGGGAGACTGTTAAATAAATCTTATACTATGTACCTAAACTTCAAAAGGACCATCGCAATCTAACAGCGGGAAAAAAAAGGCTTCACACTAACACACCATTAGAATTACTAAATGGTAACACTGTAACAAAATAAAAAATTGTACCCTTTTTGCTTTCAAGTACAAAGAATTGTTTTAAAAGTTCATCCCGACTTACTTGAAAGAGTATCTTTTTGTCAGTTACCTCTCTTTGACACTCATATTTTCAACTTCCTCTTTTTAATTTTTTTTAAGTTTATGTGAACAAAAGACCACAGGCCGAGTTTCACGTCTTCCTTGGAGCTTTCTCTTGTTCCATCCTATCAAACATCAGTTAGGAGGTAGCTATTAGCGGATGCATCACCTTCCACGTACACTTTCAAAGAGACCGAAGAAATTTCGAATCAATAAATGAAAATATTTGTCTCAAAGATATCAATAACGACGAAAGATAAATATATAAAATGTTTCAATAAAAAAAGTTCATTTTTTAGATTCGACATAGAAAAGCGTAAATAAAGAACTTCATCAAAAAAAAGAAAAAGAATAACAACCCAGTATAATCTCATTAATGGGGTCTGAGGAGGGCAGTATGTACGCAGACCTTAACCCTACCTTGGAGTAAAGAGGCTATTTCCGATAGACCCTCGTCTCCCTCCCTTCAAGAACTCCCCACCTTCCTCTTTGGGATGACTCAAACTCACAGCCTCTTAGTTAAAAGTGGAGGGTGCTTACTAGTAGAGTAGCCCCTCTTCGTCAAAAAAAAAAAAAAAGAAGAAGAACTTCATAAAAAAAAAACAGAATAGTGAAAGCAAATGCTCAAAGGAATCAGTAAGCACACAATAACATAAGATGGACAAGACATATCATCAAATACCATATATGCATAGTCTACTTCAATAGCTTTTATTTCTTTGTCGCGATATAGGAAAGATTGGCTCCTTTAGTGTAATCCAAATTTATCTTCTTTGTCTGCATTGCCCTTTTTTATTATTTTATTGGCTTAGGTATACAAATGATTAAAACAAATTGGGGCGTCTATTCCGGGAATTGTTACAACGAAGAATCTATACTTCAAGTTCTTTTGTGAAGTTCTATCTTCCACATCAGAAAGATTCCTTTTTGATAATTTAATAAAAATTAGCCCAAAATTATAGGGGGGGAAAGTACCTTGGAAATTATAACCAAGATATATGTCTTGTGAAACAGATATAGAGAAAAAAAGCAGACAAAAACATAACAAACAATGAAAAAGGAAAGGACTTTAGGATGAAGAAATATGTAAACCCAGAAAACTTAGCTTATGGAGAGAGAGATTAAGGGAGTGCTTCTTAAAAGAGAGAGACATTGATTCAAAGGGAAAGATACAGATTATGCAAAGAAGTATCTGTGACCTAAGTGGTAGATTTACCAATTTATCCCTCAAAATATGCGAAATTTCGAAACTACCCTTGGTCGACCAACTTCTCTCCTAAGTGGTAGATTTACCAATTTATCCCTCAATATATGCGAAATTTCAAAACTATCCTTGGTCGACCAACTTCTCTTTCCTATATAATATATAATAAAATATAATACTAGTGGGAATGGCATGTGCTTAGCTCGGGCCCAAACTTCATAAAAATAGTAGATTATATTAATTTATAAAGAAAATAAAGTACTTTCTATAGGGAGTAACTTGCATTATGATCAATTATGTATTGAGATATATGAGTTGATTTGTTAAACATTATGATATATGAGCCGAAGAGCGTCGCAATCACTTTAAATGATCCTTTGGAAGGCAGTAAGTTTCTTTCGATTTAGTCTTAGAAACTTGGATATATAGCAGAGTGAAGAAAACAAATTCAAGCCAAAAAAGAGGTCATATTTAAAGCTAGTCTTTCAACCCACTATTTACATCAGTTACGGGACCAATATGTTTTACCGGCTAACAAAAATATAAATATACATGCCAGTAAGTTACACAAAGTGAACTGCATTGTCCATATTTTCTGCAATATTGGAAACAAAAGAACGTCAGTAACGGCAAGTGGCAACGTATTTGGTAGCTAAAAAAAATAGGGGTTGTTCTTTGCATTACCTGTCAAACACAAGCTAGCGACCTTCAAACACGTATGTACATAGCATGAGAAAACGTATATACAGACATTTTACAGAGTTATAACACCCTGCGAACGAAACTAACGTAAGATCTATAATGACGCCTTTTTTCGTCAATCAAAAAAAAATTTATTAGTGAAACACAATTTATATTGAAAAACATGTTACATAATGTTAGTCAGTTATACCAATACAAGGAAAATAAAAGTGCAAGGTAGAAAGTACAAATCATTTCAAGCACAAGAATGTCTTAGAAAACCTGAACAGATAAAGTAGTACTACTTTATAAGTAATTTTTTATCAGGAATAAAAAGTGAAACAATACTAAATTGAACAAAATAAGTCAGTCAATGCAGCAATATATTATCATAGGAACTTAGAGAATTCTTTTCTAGGCATGAACACCGGAACATTATTGATGTTTAATAAAAGGTAGTGCACTTGAAATTTAGCTGACAATGGGTTTTCAACACAATAATGTTTGCCAATCACCAGGCAGATTAGGAGTCGCATGAAACTATTGCTTTCTCTGTCTTTTCTTTTTGGATTGGCTGCGGGAGGGCGTTGTTTGAAGAGGATGAATATAAGCAAATTAGAGCTTATAAATGAATATAGAATGGAATATACAATAACTTTTTTTTATTTATTTAAAGTTTCTTTTGAGTTGTTTGTGCTTCAACTGTAATCTGCCACTACTACATCAAATATCAAAGAATTTATTCTTGAACATGAATAACAAGCTCCTAAAAGTTTCACCTTTAAGTATGATGCACAAAATAATTTTTTTTCTTAGAAGTCAACCACTGTTAGTGGGCATTGTTTTTCTTAGAAGAAACCCATCGTCTAAACAATGCAAAGATAAAGCCGCAGGTCACACATTATAAATGAATAGAATAGCAGTAGTTGAAAAAGAAAAATTGTCAATTCGAACAGGAGTTCGACAGAAGTTGAGAGTGGAGAACTGATTCGATATTAAACAATCACAAATAATAGTATGATGGGATATTTTGGTTGACTGAATTCAAAGCTTATTCAGTCTATCAGTATAATTATATAAATTTGTTTTTTGTTTTGTTCAGGAAAAAAGAGCAAAAAGTTAACAGATATACAGATACACTAAAGAAATCTATATCTACCGGTAACTCATATTGCTAAAAATGAAAAACTGAACATAAAGTTAACCTGAACAGTATACATTTCTGCAGTCTAAAAGTATTAATGCAATTAGATTTTAGAAGCCAGTGAGATATGTTTCTTATCCTCAATTATAGTAAGATCAATATAGCTTTTAATCCAATGAGTTTTTGAAAAATTTTAAGATGTTGGAAAGGAAATTGGGAAATGAATGAATAATCTCTGTTTGTTGGAATATGCCCCTTTTTTTATATAAATTTAAAATTTCTTTGAGTTGTTTTTCTATTTACTAATGCCCCTTTTTTAATATAAATTTAAAATTTCTTTGAGTTGTTTTTCTATTTACTAATTCTTACAGTGGTGCAATTCACTAATGATCTTACTAAATAATCTCTATTTGTGCTTTTTTCTTGTTTTGCTAGGAAAGTGCTAATCTAAATTTATAATGGTGTACCTACTCAACAAAATTTTATGATTGTGTTAACTGAAATATTTACACATAGGAATTATATGGTCTATCTGTTGGTACAAACATGATATTAGCTATTGGGGCAGGTCGAAGGCTAAATTAGTTTCTCTCAAGTTATATATGATGAAGTTGGATACTAACCCAAGTAACTTACATGTCAAAGGTACTAAGAAGAACATGAGGCTGCAAAGTTTTTGTTTCGGTGCTAATGACGACATTGTTACATTTGTTTATATTCAATTTTTTTCCTTGAATTTTTTATTTTCCCAGCTAGAAAGAATAGTAAGATGAGAATTGTCGAATTTGCTCGCACAAGAGTAGTTCACTAACCTTTATTTTTTCTTGCGAGAGGGCTCCGGCTGAAGTAACTCAAGGTTCGAAGGTAACATGAGAGTGCAAATTTTTGTTTCAATTTTGATGACATCATTGTTGTATCTATTTTTAATTGAGTTATTTGTTCTTCATGTTAAAAAAAGTAATGAAAAAGTAGAGATAAAGTTTATTAACCTTCATTTTTTCTTGGGGAGGNCACATTCGAGAGTGACTGCTTTCTTAGTTTTTCTCAGTTGCAACATTTTCCAATTTAGTGTTACTGCTCTCTCCAATTTCTTCAAAGGCTACTGGTGCGGGCAATTGAAACAAATCTTCCTTCACAGAGTAGGACACAATGAACAACCGCGTATCAGAAGTTCTAGAAAATGTTTTTCTCAGTTGTATCTTGAAGAGTTTATGAGGAAGACACTGTCGAACATGTTCAAGAGGTAATGGTTGTTCCTACAGTAGAGAAAAAGATGAATTTAACACATCAAGATAATCGTCAAAAGTAATATACTCTGAATTAAATTGGATGTTTTAAGCCTATAAAGTACCTGGGATGCAGAGGCTACAAGCTTCTATAACCTTTAATTATCTTTTCATTAATAATGAATTTAAGAAGCCAATTGTAATATTTAAGCGACCTAAAGGAAATGTTTTAATTTTCGAGAGGCATGTGAAAATAGAGGTATAAGCAGACATAATCAGTGCTTTAGTAAGAAAATTGTTGACAAGCTCTCTGCATCGACAGTAACTAACATTGCCAAGCAGCACAAGTCAGATGATGAACCAACAAAGCAACACTGAATAGCCGGGTAACAACTTAGAGTTAATCAATTAACAAGAATGCATTGCTGAGAAGTATCTACTTCTCCTAAAAAGGAGCATGAAAGGGGTCTCATTGGGAGGAAATATATGGGAAATGCAGCAAGGGTAAAATTGAGACAAAGCTATACAACCAGATGCTCTTCTTGGTACCTTAAAAGCATGGGCTACTTCAGCTAAAGATTTTTCCTGTGCAAGTATCTAGCTATACATGACTTAGGAGACAGCTAATCAGTACGCATTGAGTTATCCCAGTATACATTATTTTCAACATTAATTATTTTACTTTCTTTTCTAGGAGTCTGACGTCAAGCTCAAACATACAAGGATGTTTAAGTTTCTGGTATTATGTTTTATCTCAAAAGATAAAATAAATGCTACCCATAAGTAAGAGAACATTATGTATGGGTAAGTCTATGAAAATATTAGTATGAAAAATATTATGGCTAGGTCTGATAAGTCTTCACATCCTCAAATATTCTCAATATACTCAAAATAGAGACCTTTCCTAAAACGAATAAACGGTGATTTTAAACAAACAAAGAAACATACAGAACAACGATCATTCTTTTTCATCAAGCAAAGACAGCTTAGAGGAACAGTTAATACATGCGACATTGAAAACAACCATGAAGCTTTTCTTTTTAATTTATTTGTAGCTTTGCCTTTTCTCTCTCTTTTAAGACTTCAGTAATATACTTAAGTGCAACATGGATGGAAGGCTATTGTAGTTTTTTTAGGAGTATTTCTAGCTTGGAAAACAAAAAATACAAGGGAAAAAAATTGAATATATACAAATGCAACAATGACGTCATTAGCACCGAAACAAAAACTTTGCAGCCTCATGTTCTTCTTAGTACCTTCCGACATGTAAGTTACTTGGGTTAGTATCCAACTTCATCATATATAACTTGAGAGAAACTAATTTAGCCTTCGGCCTGCCCCAATATCTAAAATCATGTATGTTTGTATTAACAGATAGACCATATAATTCCTATGTGTAGACATTTCAGTTAACACAATCATAAAATTTTGTTGAGTAGGTACACCATTATAAATTTAGATTAGCACTTTCCTAGCAAAACAAAGAAAACAAGAAAAGAGCACAAATAGAGATTATTTAGTAAGATCATTAGTGAATTGCACCACTGTAAGAATTAGTAAATAGAAAAACTCAAAGAAACTTTAAATATATATAAAAAAAGGGCATATTCCAACAAACAGAGATTATTCATTCATTTCCCAATTTTCTTTCCAACATCTTAAAATTTTTCAAAAACTCAACAACAACAACAACAACCCAGTATAATCCACTAGTGAGGTCTGGGGAGGGTAGGTGTACGCAGACCTTACCCCTACCCTGGGGCAGAGAAGCTGTTTCTGATAGACCCTCGGCTCCCTCCCTCCAAGAACTCCCCACCTTGCTCTTGGGGTGACTCGAACTCACAACCTTTTGGTTGGAAGCGGAGGGTGCTTACCACTAGAACAACCCTCTCTTGTCAAATTTTTCAAAAACTCATTGGATTAAAAGCTATATTGATCTTACTATAATTGAGGATAAGAAACATATCTCATTGGTTTCTGAAATCTAATTGCATTAATACTTTTAGACTGCAAAAATGTATACTGTTCAGGTTAACTTTATGTTCAGTTGTCCATTTTTAGCAATATGAGTTATCGATAGATATAGATTTCTTTAGTGTATCTGTATATCTGTTAACTTTTTGCTCTTTTATCCTGAGCAAAACAAAAAATAAATTTATATAATTATACTGATAGACTGAATAAGCTTTGACTTCAGTCAACCAAAATATCCCATCATACTATTATTTGTGATTGTTTAATATCGAATCAGTTCTCCACTCTCAACTTTTGTCGAACTCCTGTTCGAATTGACAATTTTTCTTTTTCAACTACTGCTATTCTATTCATTTATAATGTGTGGCCTGCGGCTTTGTCTTTGCATTGTTTAGACGAAGGGTTTCTTCTAAGAAAAACAATGCCCACTAACAGTGGTTGACTTCTAAGAAAAAAAATTGTTTTGTGCATCATACTTAAAGGTGAAACTTTTAGGAGCTTGTTATTCATGTTCAAGAATAAATTCTTTGATATTTGATGTAGTAGTGGCAGATTACAGTTGAAGCACAAACAACTCAAAAGAAACTTTAAATAAATAAAAAAAGCTATTGCATATTCCAACTATTCTATATTCATTCATAAGCTCTAATTCGCTCACATTCATCCTCTTCAAACAACACCCTCCCGCAGCCAATCCAAAAAGAAAAGACAGAGAAAGCAATAGTTTCATGTGACTCCTAATCCAAACATTATTGTATTGATAATGTTGACAACCCATTTTCAGCTAAATTTCAAGTGCACTACCTTTCATTAAACATCAGTAATGTTCCAGTGCTCATGCCTAGAAAAGAATTCTCTAAGTTCCTATGATAATATATTGCATAATTGTTGCATTGACTGACTTATTTTGTTCAATTCAGTATTGTTACACTTTTTATTCCTGATAAAAAATTACTTATAAAGTAGTACTACTTTATCTGTACAGGTTTTCTAAGACATTCTTGTGTTTGAAATGATTTATACTTTCTACCTTGCACTTTTATTTCCCTTGTATTGGTATAACTGACTAACATTATGTAACATGTTTTTCAATATAAATTGTGGTTCACTGATAAAAAAAAAATTTGGTTGACGAAAAAAGGCATCATTATAGATCTTACGTTTGTTTTGTTCGCAGGGTCGTTATAGTACGGTCGTTTTGAGAGTTATAGCCCAAAACCCCTATTAACTGCTTTCCCCATATCTATTTCTGTTATTGTGACTTGTCGGGATGATTGGTTTTGAGTTTCGGAGTATTTTGGGACACTTATTCCCTAAATGAGAGCTTAAGTCTTAGAATTTAGACCGTAGTCGGAACTGTGTGAAGACGGTTCTGGAATGGAATTCCGTTGATTCTGTTAGCTCCGTTGGGTGATTTTGGGCTTGGGGGCGTGTCCGGAATGTGTTTTGGGGGCCCGTAGCTCATTTAGGCTTGAAATGGCGAAAGTCGAAATTTTGGAGTTTTGGACCGGTAGTGAAAATTTTGATATCGGGGTCGTAATCCGATTCCGGAAGTTGGAGTAGGTCTGTAGTGTTGAATATGACTTGTGTGCAAAATTTGGGGTCAATAGGACGTGGTTTGGTTGGTTTCGACATCGGTTATCGAATTTGGAAGTTTCAAAGTTCTTTATGTTTGAATCGGAGGATGATTTATGATTTTAGCATTATTTGATGTGATTTGTGGGTTCGACTAAGTTCGTATGGTGTTTTAGGACTTGTTGGTATGTTTGGTTGAGGTGCCGGGGGCCTCGGGTGTTTTTCGGATGCTCAACGAGTCATTTTTGGACTTAGAGAAGTAGCAGATTTTTCTGATTTTTGTTGCAAAAGTTTGTTCTTCGTGTTCGCGAAGAAGAGCTCGCGTTCGCGAAGGTGTGGACAGTGGAAGCATCGCAAACGCGAGAAGTAGGACGCGTTCGCGAAGAGTGTTTTTTGAGTGTGAGGTTGTGTTCTTCGCGTTCGCGAAGGGGAGGACGCGAACACGAAGGTATGGTCTGTGTGTGCATCGCGAACGCGTGAGTGGTGTCGTGTTCGCGAAGAGGAGTGAGGCTTTTGGGGACCCCAGGCCCTTGTTCTACGCATTCGCGAGGTGGTGGTCGTGTTCGCGAAGGTCTGTGCTGGTAAATCTTTGCGTTCGCGAAGCCGTGATCGCGTTCGCGAAGGGTTAAATTTGTGGGCAGTCGAGTTGTGCTTCGCGAACGCGAGGGACCTGTCGCGTTCGCGAAGAAGAGAGGTCTGGATAGAAAGTTTAAGTTCAGAAAATGGGACTTAGTCCCATTTTCCATTTTTTAACGATTTGGAGCTCGGATTGAGGCGAATTTTGGGAGATTTTCAGAGGAAACTAATAGGGTAAGTGTTCTTAACTCAATATTGGTTAAATTACCCGAATCCATGATTGTTTTTATCATTTAATTGGTGAATTAAGTTGGGAAAGTTTAAAAACTCTCTTGGATGAATTTGAGGATTTGAGGGCCGAATTGTTGTCGGAATTTAGTAATTTTGGTATGGTTAGACTCGTGGTAGAATGGGCGTTCCTATTTTGTAACTTTTACCCGATTCCGAGACGTGAGCCCCACGAGCAATTTTTGAGTTAATTTCGAAATTTTTGTTAAAGTGATGATTTCATTAATTAAATGAGTCTATTTTGGTTGTATTTATGATATGTAATTGCTTTTGACTAGATTTGGGCCATTCGGAGCCGGATATTCGTGGGAAAGGCATTGTGACCGATTGATTGAGCTTGGTTCGAGGCAAGTGGCTTGCCTAACTTTGTTTGGGGAAATCCCCTTAAGATTTGGAACTATTGTGATATGTGAGCGCCGTGTACGTGAGGTGACGAGTACGTACACGGGCTAGTTGTGGTAAAACTCGATTTTTCTTATTGAGCAGCAACATGTTTTCCTATTATTTTGAGTTATACCATTTTAATGAGTACAAATCTATTTTCATTCTTAATTGAGTTATTCCAATATGTGTAGCTATCATGTTTAGTCTAATACAACATGTCTACGTGTCTTAAT